TAATTTTTTCATGTGTCTGAGTTGTATTTAGCTAGTAGTCTAATTCATGTATTTGAATTGTAATCAGCTAATGCAGTCTCCCTCTTTATTTTGTAGTGTAAAAATCTCGACTATTCACACTTTTAGAATACACACCTTTCCAATGAGAAGTCGCCAAAAAAAGCTGCACAAAAAAGTGTTCAACAAGTGACATGTCCTGGATGCAAGGCAGCTTTCAACACGAACTTAGAGTTAGCAGAACATTGCCGACAAGATCACGATGATGGGAAGAATGATTTTATTATAGTTAGAGAAATGTTTGACTCGTCATCGAGTTTTGAGGTACGAATAATATATTTGTTTCGTTTCATATTTGAGAAGATTCTTGCAGACTTGGTTAGCTGAGATGGAGCGCAAGACAGTAACTAAATTTGTTAGAAAAAAGAATACGAGAAGCCCTAAAGGCATACACTATATATTCTGGTGTCACCACACTAAAAGCAACGGAGAACACATCAATTCTACACAAACTGAGCAACACAGTGAAACAAAACGCATTCAAAAGCATTGTCCATGCTTTGCAAAGGTATTGCAATCCTTGCTATGGGTAAAAGATTATGGCTAAGGATCTTTGAAGGTGATGTATCGCAATGATGGAATGGTGGAAGTAACAGCTTGTTTTGGACATTTGGGTCACGAGGTGAATAGCGCTCTTCTGCCATTGTCCAAAGGTGATGTTGAAGTTGTCAAAGCTATGCTCATGGCTGGTATCTGTCCCGAAAAGGTACACAATGTTATATTATAGTATTGTTATCACCTTCAAAGGTTTTCATCGTTCCTTCCAGATAGTCTCGGATCTGCGCAGCAAATATTTCTTGCCAAATGAAGCTCCCCAGAGACAGCCACGGCTATATCACCTTACTGTAAGCGATGTAATGTGAGTCGGCAGTATTTTTACTTTACAACTATCTCTTCAAATCGTAATATTTAAATTTACAGCAACGTTGCCGACTGGCTTGACATAGAGGTTGAAAGCGATAGCGATCATCCTGCTTCACCAAGTACTCTCAAACAAGAAAGTGCTGGTCAGGATAGGGTCGAAGAAATATTTCATGAAGACGACGACCTTAGGCTCTCACCTACTCCTTCTGAAAAAATTTGCTTGAAAGAAATGCTCGACGAAGCACTTCGTGAAACTGCGCGGGTAGATTACAGGATTTTCTTTAACGTGACTTCCTTCGTGCAAATGTGTAGTTTCAGTTCCAAGCACAAATAAGTGAACGGGCTTATCTTTACTCCAGGAGTGAACGGCTTGATCTGTTGGAGGACCTCAATGGCAAACTTCTGAGCTTGTTGGAAGAGTTTACTAACTAACATAAGTTGTAAAATCCATTTCTATAGAGAACAGAGTGACTGTAAAGAATGCTTTCCATTTTTTTT